TTTCACTCAATGACTTCAGCAGACCTGGCCGATTACCACATCTGGGCCTCCGTCGTTACCAGGTCACCACGCAATTTCTTTACACGCGTTCAGCGTGCCTCTTGCTGCCTTTCTTTTTTGTATTTGGCGATGGTGTGTAACGCCATGTTTTATCTGGTAGTTGGCGGTTCCAGGATTTGATCCAGATAGGGCCATTGCAAGTGTCCCTTCGCCAGTTAGTTATTGGAATTGAGAGTACACTGATAGTTGCACCAGTGAGTATTCTCATAACTGCGTTATTCCGCTTCAGGAAGGCAGAAACGAACGGAGAGAGTGAAGACGGCGATTCAGACAATAATTCTCTTGGTATGTCCTTAGCTAAAAATAACAATAAACAATTCTTACTTCCCCATGCCTTTGTGTATCCTGCCTGGTTTCTCTGTATTGCAACAGCAGCGACTTCTGCCACGTTTACAGTATTTTACAGCCTTCAATGGGGTAAAGAAATCGCTGATCAATGGTTAGCTTCTGTCTTGGTATCTGTGTCGAAGATGTTTTCATCTGGCAACCTTCTAAAGTCCTATTATAAGTTTTGTTATTGATTCAAATTTTTAAAAGACCTGTGCCACCTGATGAAACTGAAAATTGCAGTGGAACATCCTTTGCAGAGGAGATACAGGAGCAACGTGCCTATGAATTACGGAAGGCAAAATTTTTTAGATTTGCGCGACAATTTTTGGCTTTTCTGGCCTTCTATCTCTTTTTGATGGTTATAGCTTATGGAGACAAGGAGGTACCTGATGACTAAAGCCATGTGTGACGGTTTAGCGTATTTCTACAAGTTTTGTGCAAAAATATGTCTTGATGATAGGGAATTTTCGGAAAACTACTATACATTCATCTTTCACTTTGCCACAACAAAAAATTATGCAGTGATGCCTTAACCCATTGGCAGTGCCGATGGTAGTCCGAACTGAATTGATCTACAGACACTAGGTTTACAATTTTGCGGCATGTCAATCTCTGTATGAACAAACCAGGATGACAGTAAGAAAGCGTCAAAAAGAGCAGGTCAGTTTGAATGCCTGAGGGCATGATTTCATAATAACATAGTGTGGAATTTTTGAGCAACATGAATTTAAATATCGTTCCAAAGGACTTCATTTTCAATGTCAGCCATTTAATTTCAGTTTTACCCACTGTTTTACCCAATGTGAACTGAATTTAAAATCTACGGACTCTCTCACTTTTCCTCCTTCTTAAGCCACAATTTAATTATATATGCTGTCAATACAGGTGAAGTTTAAATGAAGATGTCCCAAAATGATGAAAGTCAACAACTTTATTCTATTCCTGGTTTACCAAACATCATTGCATTTTTTTGTCTTTTGTAGGTAAACACTGGTGAAAAAATGTGGGATTACATGTTGGGAAAGTTCATCCATGACTCTTATGCCGGTGAGTGGTGCAATGGACAGGTTGAGCCGACGACAGAGTACATTGGTAACAAAGCTTCAATGCTTATTGGAATGCCTCGTCTTCGACAGTTGAGGATAAATGAAGGTATTTGTCGTTTTCACGCTTTTCATCATGTTTGTAACGAGAGAAGTCGAATGATTTCTCATTGACACTTAAAGTGACAAATTTGCGTATGTCGAAAGTAGAAAGTGGTTGCGTAATAAAATGACGATAAATTTTGGAAGTACCTCGTTAATCTCTTAAGGTTTGAGTTTTAATGTTTAATCTCTGCTCGATTTGTTTCAAAAATAGAATCATGCACCGTTGTGAAGGAGCTTAAGGATATGATTGACAAATGCTACGACTTTTACTCGATGTGAGAGGAAGACCCACAGCTTAGTTGGAACAATCGATCACAACTTTGTCCTAGGCCTTGGCGTTATTCAACAGCAGAGGAGCTCAATAACTTTCCATCGTGGGCACATCACATATATGGCCGTGGAGGGTACGTTCTCGATTTGGGAAACGATAAACCGACTGCTATCCGTATGATGGAGGCCGTTAAAGACAACGAATGGATTGACAGAAGAACAAGGGCAATTCTGCTTGAATTTCAAGTCCTAAACCTGAGCACTGACTTAATGAGCATTATTACTTACCATTACGAGGTTCTTCCTTTGGGATTTGGGCTCACTTACGAAAGGATTGACACCATAAAATTGTTTAATTTTCAAACTATGGCCTACAGCTTTTACCTAGCGAATTTACCTAGCGAATATGGAACTGGATAGATATTGGTCAAATTGTGAGTGCCTCGCTTGCAGTTATGTTTTACGTTATGAAAGTGAAGTTTATGCATGACAGTATCCAAGAAGTGCGAAGGAATCCATTTGTAACAGTAAGCTTTCAGTTCGCAATTTTTTGGACTGAAATGGAACATGCTGCTCTTTCATTTGCTTTATTCTTTGCCACGTTTAAAAATCTCCACTCCATTCGACTTAATCCGCAGTTACAAATACTAGTGTGGTCGTTAGCCATTGCGAAAAATGACATTTTTTTCAATAAGTGTTCTCTTCGGATTACTATTTATTGCACATGGGCATTTTGCTTACATGGTTTTTGGTGGCTCATCATCGTTCATCCGCTTGTTCGCTTTTGAATTTTAATTAGCACTTGGGAACACCTTTCACGTTGTCCAACTCGATGATGTCAATAGAATCTTTGGTAATCTTTTCACTGCCAGTTTAATGGCCACACTTGCAATTCTTCTGATCAACATTTTTGTCTCTATTCTTGATATCAATTTACACGATACAAAGGACGACGAAGAGAAACTTGAGGAAGCATATAGTATGGAAGAATTTATCAAAACACTTCTATTTGGCCTGGATCGCCAGAAAGAGGAAGATACTAAACTGTGAAATTCCACAAGAATTCAGGGAAGGACGCTTTTTTGAGGAGACAAGAAGGGTAAATTTTTCAAGAAAAACCTGCAAACTATTCTTACCCAGCGGCATCTTTCTGTAAAAATCTCATTAGAGGATCTTTAATTTGACTTCTGTTAAAAACAGTAGGATCTGCTTTTTCCGAGTATGCCTGTGTAAAAAACTAAAATAAATGATAGAAAATTCCTTTATGCGTGTACAAAGGAATTTATTTAGGCTTTTATGCTGTAGCAAGCAGTGTTTTTTTTAATGTTTTATCATTCCCTATCTTTTAGAATTATCTCCCAGCATTTAAGGACCAACGCTAACACTATATGTAAACTAGTTATAGTTCTCACTAGAGCTGCCCCCGCCCTACAGTACCATTTTCTTTTTTTTTTTTTTGAGTTGGGCTTGTTGTTTACAGTTGTGCAATTTTTCTGTTATGCTGTTACGGAATTGCGGCTCAGTACTTTGGTGTTAGTAATTTTGGATCTCAAAATACTACATGTGTACAAAATGTAGTTTTGGGAAGTGCTTGGGGTTTTTTTTTTTTTTTTCGCTGTGTGGTTTAACTTAGGATTTGTTTGTTCTTCACGATCAAGAAGAAGCAGAATGTAGGGACTTGGGTGAGTTTTAACATTGGAATGTTATAGGTGGCATTGGAGAACAATTTATAGACAGCATTGAAGAACAATTTATTATTATATAGTTATTAGACACAAAATTATACCTTAAGAGGGCCTACATTCTCTCTTCTCCAGTCTTCCTCTATACTAGGACAAATCTCGTGTCAAAGACGCCGATCCTAAAAGTCCTCGCGCGCATGTCTTTTTACTGGCAGCCCATGACCATTTGCGGGAAAAACGTTGATACCTTGCGGCCGTGCAAGCGATCAAATCGAGATTTTTTCTGGTTATGATCTACCGAAAATACCCACATTCTCTCTTCTCCAGTCTTCCTCTATATTACACGGGGAGTCCTAAGGTGCCTCCTCGGGTTTTTGGCCCTCTGGGGCCAAAAACCCTGTGGGGGCAAAAACTAAAATAAATGATGGAAAGTTCCTTTATGCATGTACAAAGGAATTTATTTAGGCTTTTATGCTGTAGCAAGCAGTGTTTTTTTAATGTTTTATCATTTCCTATCTTTTAGAATTATCTCCCAGCATTGAACGACCAACGCTAACACTATATTTAGTGATTTTAGAGTCTTCTGTTACATTATCAAGATGACCTTAAGACGTCATGTACCAGTCGATTTTGTCATTTACGGCCAATGCGGTTCCGTCTTTTTTCAAATTATGTTGGATTTGACAGTCAATTGACCGAAAAAAAAAGTTAGAACGCTCTTGATGGATTTCATGAAGACAGTGTCGAGGTAAAATGATCTGCTTAGCGTCTTTTGTTTACTGATATTGACAATAATATTAAGACACAGTGCCATTTCAACGTTATCATTTCACCAGAAATCGCTTCTAATTCTTTATCGGTTACATTGTAACCTAGGAGTTGATTTATTGTAATAAAACATAGTCATGATGTACAAAAGCAATATTTAAATCCATGTTTTTCAATTGGGCACAGAGGTGCCATATTTCTTGGAAATGATATCGGTGAAAGCAAAACTCGACATCAAATAAGCTCCCACCGGAAGGAAGACGATGGCAATTGTCATTAGTCTCATAACTGTCTATATTTCTAGCCTCATTTTTCCTCGCGATGCCCTCTCTCGAGATATTTACTTCAAGTGAACTATATTTCATCTACAAGTAGCCCTATTGACAGCAGAGAAACATTACAGATTCTTAAGATTTTTCGATCAATGTAAAATCAGTTTTCAAAGTAAGTTGGACTCGTGAATTTCTGACTTCACAACTGCTGACGATTGCATGTAGCAGAAAAGAAATCATTTCGGTCACAGTACCTATTAGAGAGCCCAACGGGCCTAGGTTATGGAGAAACTATCGCCAGATTTTAGATCCGCAATAAAACTGAATACGTTTGAAAACAAGATTCGTAAGTGCGTTATAGTTTAAAGCTCATCACAATTAACAGAATTGTATCTTAATAAGAATAAGGAGGAGGACTTTCTATTTCAGGGATCAACCTCTGATTGTCTGTCTAAAACGTGTTCAAAAGAATTTACTATTGTGTGCAGGAGATTCATAAAGTCATTTTCCTCCTGTAAGAGATCAACTTCCATGCTTTCTGTTCGTTTAGTGAGAGCAGACAGTCTTTTCTCCACGTTTTCCATTCGTAGCTCTGTGCTCTGGATAATAGTTTCAGAATTCAAACAGAAGGGCTCTACTTCAGAAAGGCACATATTAACAAAAGTTGTCTCATCACAAAATAACCTAAATTCCGTCCGACTGCTCCCTTCATGAAACATTTCCTTTACTCGTTCTTCAATGAAGCGCGCCATTTCAAGCTCTTCTGCGCTTTCCTCGGCGTTTTCTTTGGCGTCACCATAGGACTCATTGAGTACAGAAACTAACATATTCATTAGAAAAATAGTAGTGGACAGACAGAACAAAAATGCAAAGGCAGGACCAATAAAGGGTTTGTCGCTACGCAGAGCTTGTAACGGAACCGCTTTTCCTAACAGGAATTCGAATTGTGACATTACGGCATTAAGATAACTAGAATACTCAAGGACTATACCACCAAATAACTGCATACCTGCTATGACAAATGCATTAAACACGATCAGAAAGAAGAACACATACGAGAGTTGATAGCCTACAGACTGCCGAAAAGATGAAAACAAGTATATTACGTGTGGGTTAAAACGAATTAGATTCAGAAGCTTGACTGTTACCAAGAAAACAGCAACAGCAATAGACGCATTTTCAAGGTTAAGCCAATCTAAGGCTGCGTGGAAATGCATGACTTCATATGGATTGGCTTGAATAGATTTGATAGTGTTCAAAACGCTTTTGGCTCTGATCATGTAGAATGCTACAGATGCTACAGAGAAAATTATCAAGAAGAAATCCACTATGTTCCAAACAGACTTGAAGAACCCGACGCGTTGTCGATAAAGGTGAACTAACATAACCACGAGGTAAAAGAGGACCATTGCCATGAACAGAAACTGGCCAATTAAGAAAAACATCAGAGCTCCTGACTCAGTGCTGTACAACTCGACTGTTTCAATTCTCTTTGTAGTGTAGGCTGCACCAGTAGCTATGGCCTCGTAAAAGTATGTGGCGACGCTAATCAAGTTTGTATTGACATTGAAAACAGCAAACTCTAGAATAACAACTCGAGTCTGGCGATCAAGCCAACCGTGGCCAATAGTTTCGCCGAGGACGCCTTGGGCAGTGGCTTCGTCATATCCCATGACAGCTGCATAACCACCCCCTTCATATGAATTGTATGCCGCCTGGATAGGATGGTTGCGGAGTTCTGCTGCTGATTGGTATCGCCAAGGTTTCGGGCACATTTCTAAAGCATTTGGCCACGATGTGTTGAAGGGAAGAGGCTTCCAGCTGGGAAGACTTAGGGGAGTAGTGTCCTCACTGTCTGAGGAATAGTCGTAGTAGCAAGTTGAGATGATTTTAGGAGGGGACTCGCAAAAACCTTGAAGGAAAATACAGTGAAAGAAATTTAAAACCTTAAGCTTCTAGTAATGACGATACGAATAGAGAAAATAAACAACTGATTCTTTAAGATTTATATCTCAAAATCAATGTCCTGTCTAAAAATCCAGTAATTTCTAAGGTGCGGTGTAATGTTACACACCAGGAAGTGAGCAACATTGTGATCATCAAAGGTGAAAACTGACTTTAATAAGAAGCAAATACGCTTAGTAGAAGTGAGTATGCCACATCATTTCAAAATAGGGCTCTTTATATATTTCCTATGATTTATGAGTTTCACTGTTCTATGCACTTTGCAACAAGAGCCTTCTTGGAAATATATTTTGTGCATTAAAAAAAGTAAATAGATCAATCTCATTTGTGTATACCTTTTTTAATTCTGAGCTGTCGCAACCAAGGCATTCCTACCAGTATTGACATTTTGTTCTCGATATACACGTCGTTTTTCTCTTCAAGTCCGTTATACCACACCTGATTATAAATGTTTGATAGGAATTCGTTCCTTAACCACGATTCAAATCTTTGTGCATCAGATACCTACAATAAAAAATATGACTCTGAGTGCTGTTGACATTGTAATTTTAAATCTGAAGTGTTCAGATTCCTCACCGGGAGTGAAAAACTAACTATATTTGGCCTTTTTCCAACATATGGCTTCGTAGATCAGTTGGGATGTAGAAGGTACAGATTTGAATCCTGTCGAAGCCTGACCATTTACAGGCCTCTTTTCTGCGATTTTTCTTACTGCAGCTCACCAGCGAGATCAATGCTTTAACCCTTTAACTCCCATGAGTGACCAACACAGAATTTCTCCTTACAATATCAACGCAATACCAACCAGATAAGTGATAAGAATAAGGAAAAATATCAATTTGGGGATAATTAGTTGATCCAAAACTAAATTCTCTAAACTAACATAAAAATAGTATGGTTGATGGTAATGAGAATTACAAATTTGATCTGGGAGTTAAAGGGTTCACCTTGGTTCTAATTTTTCTTTTAAAGGTCGTTTCAATTCTTTAACGGTTTTCGGAGTGTCTTGCAAAGGGCAATAACTACAGAAATGCCTTCTAACTATAGACTTGAAAGTGTGTTTTGGGTAAAACGATAATCTTACCACATCGAATTTAGTGAACCGATTTCTCATCTCATTTGTCATCAGGAAACGATTTCCATTCTTGTTGCCATAAGAAACGATAGCCAGAAGAAACATAAATATCAGATGAAGGATAATGTCTCTTGTCATGCTTGTTAACTGAGCTTCTTTTTTTGATCTCTCCCTCATCTTTTCCCGCTGATATTTCTTAAATCGCTGTTTGGGATCATCACCTACAAAGTCTACTTCAATTGCGAGTGGATCGATTGCGATTTCCTCTTTTTCTTCTTCACATTGGTTTTTATTCTTTCTGATCAGGAGAAAGGAGATAACGATGACTGCTATCATAACTTTCGTGGGCTGCATAACGAAAATATCTTGTCCATTGGAAATCAAGATGGAAGCAAGCCACTGCTCAGAGGTTTCCTTTCCCCACATTAGACTGTAAAACAGCGTAAACGTTGCTGCTGCAATAGTCGTACAGAAGCAGAGTAACCAGCCTACGTAGACAAAGAAGTGAGGAAGCATACAACCAGTGTCCGTTATTTCATCCAAAAGTCGTTGGGCCTCGTCTGTCACTTTGTGTTTTTCACTCCTTTTCTTCCTCGGTCTACTAGACTTAAAGAGGAAGGCGATTATTATGTTTATAGGTGCAATGATAATGCCACTTTGTACTCCGATGACTATCTGTCTCCAAGAAAACTTAAATGGCCCAACCTGTATAGCACCATCGGATTCACCACCAATGTTATAGAACATGGCATTAGCTATCATTGCACTAAACAAAACTGAAAGACAACATGAAGCTCTTTGCACACGTGTGAAGGTGCTGCTACATGCTTTTCCAAACACTGACATCCACAGATGACTGTCGGCAATTTTTCGAGCAAAGCGCGAACGAACCTGCGCCGAGAAGGCTGAGTAAGTAGCGCTGTCCACAGTAACCTCTATTTGACCGTCGTCTTTCTCCAACGCAAGCCATCTATTAATGGGGAACACCCACTTTTTTTCCGTCTGCCGGTCTTTGATAACCACAGTCTCCGCAAACCAAGACGGGTTGTCACCCAAATTATCGTGTTCCAAAGTAATTTCTTTTAATGTGCCAATGGTTTCAGCCATCACCAGAACAAAGCCATTGATACTTCCTCGTCCGAAAAACTGGCTCGTGTCCCCTTTCTCTCGCAAAGGAATTTGACTCTGCTCGTTATTGTCGCCCTTGATACTGATGGTTATGTTGGCTGTTGTTGCTGAGTGTTTCCAAACACCAGTGCTTATAACCATATCGTAGTAATATGTTCCTCCCTCAACAACTGATATCAATTTAGGAGGGCAAATCTGAAAAGAAGGATACATTCTAGTGTTAAAAATAATCCGAAATACTCACCTGAAGGTTGGCATCTACTGGTAAGAACGCAGCAGGTTTTATTCATATTTCAATAGTACCTTAAAAAAGAAAAAAAATAAATCTATTTAGGAATAAAAATATTGAATTAGATGTAGTAGCAGCCATAACCATACTTTGTCTTCATCTCCCTTGTCGGCCCTCCTTGCAAAGATCAACACGACGAAGTACAGAAGGAAACAACAAGCAATTGTCACAAGTACTGAAATATTGCCACTTTCAGCAAGGTTTAAAAACTCAGTAAAAACTTTGTCGAAGTCAATTGGATTCGGTGCTTGGATGAAGTTTCCACCAAAAGATGTCAAATGATTGCACAGGCATACCAGATGCGTGGTGTTTGAATCATGGCTGACCTGTGGATATAAATGTCCCGAAATATATCATCTAAATTCAACGAAAAGAGTTTTGGTAAACTAATATCGGATATGGCTAAGTTTTGACATAATCTCTAAAAGCCATACCTTTAGAGGAGTATCGTCTCCTCGACTACAGAATCCCGAAATTTTGGAATCAAAAACTTGTTTCCAGTTGATATACTTTTAATACTGAGCTAATAGGTTTCCTCATTGTGGACAAAAATGAGACACGAAGGACTTCACCCAATAGGTTTATCAGAAGTTGAAAAATTTGCATTATTTACTTTACCTTGCAACCTTCCGCAGTCCACTTTTCTTTTTCCTCTGACCAATACAAACAGCTTGACTGGCTGATGATTAAAGTGTAGTTAACGTCTGTATTTGGATCATATTGTGGAACCATAGTTTTAAGGACTCCTTTTGGTGGCGGATCTTTAACGCCGACACATGACCGTCTTTCGCGACGATGATTGAAACATGATCTTCTTTGCCTAAAATGTTGACTTTCATTCTTAGAGCCTTTGACCAACAAGCCCACGTAGAGAAAACCTGGCTTAGAAGGCGTCACTTTAACAGACCCATCCTTGGTAAAGCAGGTTGTATTAAAAACTGTTCGGTTGTCACATTTAGACTTAAACGCAAAACTAAAATTGTGGTCAAAGTCCACCATCGTTGGTCGTTGTCCAAATTTAATCCGCATTTCAATTTCCACTCCTGTTATGGCCAAACCCAATCTTAAAGAGACAGGGACGTCGGCCAGGTTTGCGTAATAACTTCGGAATGATATGCGGTCAGGCTTGAGGAAATAATGTTGTGTTGTGTTGCTGGAGTTCTTTGGTGGATTAGAAATCGGAATTACAATCTCGATGTCATTATCAAGATTTGACACATTAAGCTTTTCTGCACTGTTACTCTTAAGCTCGAGACTCGTGACGCTTGATTTAATTTTCTTGCTGCTATTGTCCCATGTAAAAGGATTAAAATCAATAGCTTGCATCTGAAATAGAACAGAGTCTATTAGAGTCTAACTCTCTAACTCTGAAAACTGACTCTTGTGATGACTTCAACTATGGTCGTTGAGACGTCGGTAGCTATTACTGGGAATCTATACATTCAAACATTCAGACTACACGATGATAAGTTTTACGACAGGTTACGCTGTTTGGTAGTATGGCAAATGAAACCATCGCATTACTGGATTCATTTTTCGGTCAATTGAATAAGACACAGTAAAAGAATCATGCATATTCATTTTGTTGACGAAATTGTCTTCAGATTTCACAGAATATCAGTGCAGATTGCTTTAACATTTTATCACGCGAATAAAGTGCAAGCAGTTGAATTTCTTAAACGACAACCAAACGTCATTATCAGCGATTATTAATGTCCTTTGTCATATTCGTTAAAAGATGAAAATTAAGATAAGAATGGCGTCATACCTTTGCATTTATCTCCCCATCACCTATATTTCCAAGGTTGCTCGGGAGCTTGAATTTACTTGGTCCATCTCCCATGGTAAGTCCTTTTGCATCATTAGCAGTGACCTTTTTCAGCGATATTACCAAGTTCGGAGTTTTTAGGACCAGATCTTCTGATAGCACCAAACGGCCAAAAAATGCATCACTCATGCTGCTCAGTTTTTCGGAGGCCTTCTTTACAAACTGGAAGGAGAGAAAGATGTAAGTCATAACGTGTTTGTATAGTGACTGTTAAATTTCCTGAGACTCTTAATTTTCCTTCGTAGCCCCATAAAACGAGTTATCAAAAATTGTTGTCAAAAAACTAATTCCAGCAAGGCAATACGTAGGAGAGTACATTTTTATTTTGGACGCTGTGTTTGCGATGCGTACCTCTCGAGATGGCGTGGTAGCGGCCAAATCTGCTCTATCTTGACTCGAGCCTGCAGCAGACTTCAGAACATTTGCAAGACAGCCTGTAACACTTGTAGCTACAAGTTCCAACGTTGGTGTAAAAGGCTCCTCTGGATCGTTAACGGTAGAGATCATCATATTTGAAGTACTATCTGTCAATCGTATCGTCAAATCCTGATAAAAGAAAAAATAAGTATAATATCAACAAATCACCTTACTCTTCGGAATATCAATTGGAAAAAAAAAAAGACCACAATGCTCGAAAAAAAAACGCAAACTCAAACGCAAGTCCCTTCATTACGTTTACCAGTGAGTTTAACTTCGTTACTTGTTTTGTTATTACTTTCAAGTCAAAATTATTCATTTATTTGTAATCAGAATCCTTTAGGGGCAAGAAAGAGCCTCTTTTTGTCAATGGCACCGAGCATTGCTCAGTTAGCAGTCGAATTAGGGGGGCACCAGCTTAAACTCCGTCATTCCTTGAAATTTTAAAGCTGTAACCTTCCAATATTCGTTCAATATCATTTTAATGGACTTGCAAAAGAGATCAGTTCGTTTCCCATTACCATGTATGAACCAAAATTGATTTATCGTATATGTTTACATCAAAAAGTATAGAAAAAGGAAAAATTCAATATATTTATAGGGCGCACCAGGTTGTCATTGTTGCTGTTATCGCTGACGTCAACCTCAGCTTCCATAGCTAAGCTCACCACCGACATAATCAGGCGAGACATTTCAAGATTCTCTGGTGTTATTGCTGTAAACTTCGTAATTAATGCGTTGAAGATCTACAAACAAAAAGAAGTGCGTCAAACATATTCAACGCTTACCTACCACTCAAGATAAATAGAAATCGCCATAAATTTGTGTAGTAATACAGATAATGAAAACGAAATTACTAGAGAAATGTTTAAGTCTCGCTGATTACATTTAAACAGTTCTTTTTACGTACCAAAGCTTTGTCTTGAGGGTCCAGTTCTATTCCACATTCGCTTTTTTCATTTGTAGACTTGATGACAGATAAACCGAGTTGAACAGCTTGGCTAATTTTACCTTTGTTGAGAAATCCATCAAGCTTATTACCTTCCATGACTACAAAACTTTTTAACTTGTTTGCAACTTGCTCGGGTGACGAAACACATGGATCGAGGCTCGATGATGGCTTTACCTGCGGAGAAAAAGTTTTATTTTAGGCTTTTGTGAGGAAATCGAAAATTTGGTCCGGGGGGTAAGAGGTCTTGGGCGTTTTAGTCAATAAATATTACAGATTTTAAATGGATCCTAGCAACAATGCCGTAATACTGGAGGATTTTATGCTGGAAAAACTCCAGAGGTTAGTAAGTACAGAAAAAACATAAAACATAATGTTTCTATAAATCAAAATTTTAAAACATGAAAATCTTTGGTTGAGTTCCAAATTTTTCTTGCTTTGTAATATCAATCACTGCACCTTGACAAATAATTTCTGTTCAACAGCTACCCCAACTGCATTTCTGATAACAATAGTGACTTCTAGCAAGAAATCTTTGTCTGGTAATCCAGTCGGTAACACTGTCGATACAGACGAGGTTGATGTGCCATAAGATATAGGCTCCTCTCCATGGGCGAATTGATAGGTGAGCGGTAAGCTCGCATCCTGCCAATCGAAGCACTTGAAAGTAAACTCAGTCTCCAGTGAAACGCCTTCAGAGATTGACGGCGCGCAGTAACCACTGTGCGGCTCCCCTGCAGTTTCGAAGAGGAGCATAGAAAACCCGTATGTCCCATCCAAAGATTTTACAAATAATGTTAGATTGTATTTTGATTTAGATTGCAATGAATTCTTCTTGATGATCATATTAGTAGCATTAACAGCAGTTGAAGTCATATTGGGTAAAATAGATATGTTTACCCATTTTGAACCATTTAATTTGGACAAGCGCCATTCATAAGTGGATCCATTACAAGGAGAGTTAAGACACTCTGATGTCACCCGGAGCTTGTTTGACGCAGACACTATTGCGCCGCAATCCACAAAGCATCTAAGAAAAAAAGAAAATAAACTGTAAACAAGCCAAAACAAAAACAAAAACAAAAAAGAACATACACAAACATAAAAAAAGCAAAAATCAATGAGGAGAACTATCAAAACAGTTGCAGCCTCAATGGCACTTTACTGACTTTACGTAAATGGTTGAATTCAAATATGCCCACGCACTTGAAAAATGTGTTTCAGTTGCATGGCGATATGACTCTTTGAAATCAGTATCTGCCCGTCACTAGTGGAGCAGGTCTTAAATAGCTCCGCAGTACGTTGGCCAGACCTTAAAATACCCAATGAAGCTCTTAATTTTTTCCCAAGTTATTTGGAATCGGCCTGTGAACACTGGTCTGTCATAATTCGAAATCATTACCTGAGAGTAACCTGAGGTACCTCTCCTGCAGCTATAGCAAAGGACATTTCAGCAAACGAACTTCTCATATCCTTGGAAACCGTAAGTCGAAGGGAGTACGTCTTATTGATTTCAAGTCCATTAGGATCAATTGTAATGTCTCTAGAGCTTACGTTTCCTTCACCATGGAAGGAACCGAAACAAGTGTTGCTCACATTAGTGTCATTCCGGCAGGTCCACGTGAAATTGAGCCCAGTATGTTCTCCAGGACCAATATCAGCATCGTAACTCAAGGAACCATCCACAGTCACGATGTTTTTGGATCCCCATCGAATACTGCTTCCCCCATCAATGATTGCTCGCACTGGAGCTACAATAACCTCAATAAAGCCATAATCAAAAGCATTCAGCATCCGTGGGGATTCTTGATCTCTAACTGTAATTGTAGCATTGAATTTGACTTGATAAATACCTGCTGGTATGGACCGTCTATTTATTGTCCACTCCGTTGTTCCTTGACTAACTATAGTTCCTAATGCTGACTCGGAAGCAGCTAGTTCCATTTCACTAACAACGCTCCATTCGAAAGTGCTTTTCAATATAGTCAAATCTTCATTTAGACCCTGTATCACGGCTTCCTGGACGCTTTTGAGAGAACGATTTACAAGTGTGGCATGGTACTTGTCTTTTGAAATATTTCTGATGGTCACCGAGAAATCTCCTGAGAATATATCGGAAAAACATCTGCATGAAGCTTTCAACCTCAAAGAAACAAGCTTTCTGTAACATGCTCGATTATAGAAATGTATAGAACTTAACGAACTGATTAATTTTCAGCCCGGTTCTCTTTCACTGCAATATGAATTGAATCTTACCGTTCGGCTCACATGCTATTCCATCTCCAATGTAGTCTTTGTGGCACTCACAGCTGAAGGATCCCGGATTGTTAAAGCAGTGAGCAACTCCATGACAGTTATGAGTTGAGGTTGCACATTCATCGACATCTACATAATTCCATAAATGTGTTTTAAGTCTTGTGACAAGGATAAGTGCCTCAGTAAACAAAAGACAACAAGAAAGAATTGATCTTGCAAATATTTCCTACCAACACAACTTGTACCATTTCCTTCATATCCTTTGAAGCATGTGCAACTAAAAGATCCGATTGTGTTATTACAAACTGCCCATGGGTCGCAGTTGTGCGCATTTGTGGTGCATTCGTTAATATCTATACGGAAAAAAATACGTATTTAAGACTATAAAGCTGTCAAACCTAACCCCTCCCCCCAAAAACAAACAAACAAACAAACAACCAAACAAAGAAAAAAAACTTCATTATTTCTAATGGCCTATATCCAAAAAAAATGGGACATGGATGATATTTGGTTACTACTGTCGAGGTGTTAGACTGACAGTGATGGTTATGAAATGATTCTTAAATTTGCCTAAAGAATGTCCTAAAGTAGATCTGGTTCACACATATAAAAAGCTGAAAGATCACATTTTGGAAATGTCCATATTGTAAGCACAGGTATTCTGTCAATAGTATTGTTATCATTGTCACCATTATCATTGTTGTCTTTTAACCATTGCTATTCTTTTAATTCTTATCAACATTTCCAGTCACATGAGTATCTAAGGTCTGTTTTTAACAGTTTCATTGACGTAATGTCGAAGTTTACAAGAACGTTTAGCGAACAATTCATTCACAATGTCAGCGGTAGAGGTCGCAAAGATTTGAGCTTGTTATACGTACCATTGCAAAATCGTCCATCTCCAGAGTATCCAGGTAAACATCTACATTCGAATGAGCCATGGCTATCCCAGCACTTTGCCTCAGCAGCGCAGTCATCCAGTCTTTCCTTACACTCGTTTATATCTATGGATTTAGAGGTCATTATGAAGTAAATAACAGCTTGCATTAGATGAAGTGAAACAAGTAGTTTTTGTGGTCCAATTTGAAAAAATGGCCTTCTTTGTAACCTTAAAGAAGATATTGAGTTTATTTTGAAACGAGGAGGCAAGAATCGTATAGAAAACATTACCAGACATTCAAATCTTTAATGCGCGTACTTGTTGAGGCATATGTACCCTTTTTTTTACTGGCACGCATTATCTTTCTGCACGAGAAGAAATAATTATTGACGGAACGATCTCGTCAGAGTTGGAAAAAATTGTTTAGCATACCCTATTCAAATCCAGAGTTAAACGTTGTTCTACAAGTTGTAAAAAGTTATCGTGACTCAAAGTGATCGATAATTCACTTTATTTGAGAAAATGGGTACGATACCAAGGTATGCATTGATGTCACAGGAAATATGGGCGTACAAGTAGGGATAAGACCGGGCTGAGCTGCATTGCATCTCTTAAGACTTATACATATCAAAAATTACCAAATATTTGACTGTAGACATCGTCTATTCAGAGAAGGGTACCAGTTTTCGAGAGCGAGCACGATGAAAACTGAAAATATCTGCCAGCATATTTCCGAGTCTATTAGGAGACATTGACTTGATGATCTTTCAAGTAGTGTTCTTTTCTTTTATTTTGGGACAAAATTTCCTCGTCCACAGCTCTTTGGCAAGTAGGAAGAAGACGTTTACGCATCCTAAACAACAAAATGATGCAATCCTGACTTAAATTTTACACTCCGTTTGAAGATTGCAGAAAATCATTTGTTTACATAACCGGGTATTCCCGGTTTCGCTGAGACATATTTGAGCACGTGGACTCATTCATACATCATACCAAAACAAATGACACCATCTCCTCTAAATCCTTGAAGACAAGTGCAATTGAATGAGCCCACAGTATTGCTACAATGCGCCATGCCGTCACAATTGTGATTCTGCTCTTGACATTCATCCAAATCTGCAAAAATCATATTAGATGATGTAAGTACCTGTGTGCGTCTGCTCTGCCTATCCCATCTTATTTTATTACTTTTATTATCAGTCTGCCGAGTCGTACGTCCTACTATATTTCCGTCCAAGAGAGTATAGAGACCGTATTTCTTCCTACGTTTCAGTGTGTGTATGCGTGTGTTTCCTAACAGGACTAGTAAGCTTTTAGACAAATTCGCGCATTGATTGTATCACATATGTTTTTCGACTCAATATAAGGCTCCTTTTGTTTCGTCAAAATTTTCTGTAAAGGTAGAAAAGCGTACGCGATGTGACCGAAAGGTTAAAGAGCTAAGTGGCTAGCACAATCCGAGCTATTTCGCTTTCCCCAGCATGTTGTTGGATGATAGTTGTTACTTAGTCGGAGCTGATGATGCTCTGGCCCGCGGGAAGGAGAACCCATGAATCTATTTCTTGAACTTATCATCTTGCCTAAGAATGTGCAAAGACAGTTTCCATCGGGGAATGGGAGATTACAACTGCACATGGGGCTTTTACGTCATTTTTGGGTGTGCTTCATACGAGATGTGGCTTAGTGACGACTTGACATGAATGCGTATGTCCAACTGTTAAAATTACCTGAACAACCGAACAGCTCCACCCTCATGCCAATTCCCCCGTTCCAGTCAACTGGACGAAATCGGACGTAACGTCCCACGATGGAGGGATTTAAGTCGTGGGAAACTGTTGAAAACCTGTTATTATTTCCATCAAAAGCCTTGATGTATATATAAAAAAAGGAAAAGAATTTGCTGATTTCTTCGATCGAGAAAGTTATTATAATTAAATCTCACTGAATTGTTGAAAATTGTAAGTTAGAATTTAAAGTAAAAAGCAACTAAAGAGGATATGGCAGTTCTAGGTCAGCGCGGGACGGCAGATTCAAAAGTAAAGTCGTCGAGGTGGTAAAAGTATAAAATTTTCATGCAAGATGTTCGTCTGGAGAGGTGGAGATTTTGTACCAAAAAGAAAAGAATTTTCCTTCTTCCCATGACATGTCCAATTGGCCGCGCCCCCCGGCCACTTCAAAGGTTTTTTAAGAATACTTCAGAATGTTTTGTACAGATTTTCTATAACTATGCATGAACTGAAACAATAAAAGGAAAAATGAAAATTCATGGTATGTATCATGCAATTTACAAGTTTGTTTTACAATACTAGTTTCTTTTATGGAAAAAAATATAACGAAACTGTGGTGCTGAGTCGGTGGGAAGGTATAACAGGGTCATTTCGTCACAGCGAAGCGAGTGGTAGTCCTTTGCTCTGACGAAGGGCTAACGCTCGAAACGTCGGGGTTGAAACTCTTTACGGCGACCAATTTACGTTGTCAACTCAGTTGGTTATACTAACTTACCCTGTAGTACTCTAATATACCTTTTTTACTGTCTCCCCCTGTTCTATGTAATAACGGAAGTTGATTTCATCGTTACTATATTGTAGATTGTAGCTAGTAACCCATTTGGTCATGTCAGGGTTATTCAGTCCTTGTGTGGCAATTCTCGTTACGATGATATCGTTTTCAAGCAAATCAATCTGAAGCCATTGTTCGGCATTATTCGTGAGAGGCAACCAAGTTCCCTCTGCAGCTTTTAGTCTGGCCTTATTCGCCGCATAAGCTGCTTTCAGTTCTGAAGAGGCAGTGATTTGTCCGTCAGAAATGGCACCGTTTTCCATACCAAAAGCGTCTTGACATTCTTTAAATTTTCAGATAATAAACACAAAGTTTTTATTGAGAGTATATATTCAACTGCCTTCCTTGCCAAAACTGAGTTATAAGGGGACAAAAAGAAGTAAATCTTAATGGTAGAGCATATTCCAGCAGGGTATGTTAATCAACTTTTAAACGTAAGGGAAAAATTTTATTATTGGAGTCATTATTAAAGAAATTTAGAAAAAACCGATCAAATGAAATTAAGACTAACTGAGGCATATGTATTGGGTGTAAATTGGAAAACGAGGTTTGGTGCTCTTACGCCTCAATGTTTAAGGAATGGAATGATTAAACACAACAACTTTCACAATTAAGAAGAACGCAAGATAAGTGAATTGCGAATTACACGTCAATCAACGCAAGTCAAATTCATCTTTACCTAAACAGCCGTACAGCTCTACTCGCATTGTTATCCAATTATACCAAGCTGTTGGTCGGAAACGGATGTATCTTGCTCTAATTGGTGGAAAGAGGTCATGGTACACGACAGTGTCTCTGTCTGTGTTTCCAGAGAAATTCTAGAATGAAAAACAGTAAGTAGGCAGTAAACTTACTGCCTATGTCGCATACAGTGTACTCTTCGACCTTGAGTTGTCTCAACTATCTAAGCCAAATTCAAATCTACCGTTCTAAAAAAGTCCGCAAAAAGCCGTTAATGACACTATCCGTGCGGCATGAAATTTGACAGTTGTTTGATGTTAGCCTTTAGTAAAGAACATGACTTATTTCTTAAATTTAACGACACGTTTTTTGTCATTATTAATTTTAAGTGATGAAGTGAAGGAGTTTAAAAACTCCTTTCCGTCTTTGAAAAACGAAAATATCCATAGAACACTAAACACTAAATTTCGTTTGTCTCACGATGTAGTCACGTGTGATGTAGATCGCGACGTTTCGACTGCATCCTGCTAGTCTTCTTCGCCTGAAGAAGATTAGCAGTATGCAGTCGAAACGTCGCGATCAACATTACACGTGACTACGTCGTGAGACAAACGAAAACTTAGCTTTTATTGCTATTCACTACGATGAATAACCACAACCTTTTCTACGAAATTAAAGACTTAATTCTCCAATGAAATTGAGAGTTAACACTTTTTGGAGATTCTTTAGACTCCATTCCGAACGACAGTTAAGATAAAAGTGTGCTAAGAGCGAGATTCCGAATCAAGTCACGTCATTTCTTTCGTGATACGATGAAAAATAGGTATAAAACAAGCCCTAAACCTCTCTTTTAATGTTAGACTATCCACGGATTTAAATCATGGAGATTCAAGCCAGTTAAAATTCTCTACTCTGATTCTTGATATAATTATCTTATTCGTGAGTGTAATTTTTCTGCTGTAATTTTAATTAGACTCCTTTAACTATTTTATTCCCCACAGTCGGAGACTGTGAGAAATGAACTGCACAGACATTGGTGCTTATTCCCTGGAGCAACGCACTCGTTCCTCTTAATTTACGCTGAATTTTATACTTTCGAATTGATCGCTTAGAGAAGTGCATGGTTTATACAGATGGACTACTGATCAAGATTACTTAAGATAATTATCAAACCTTCGCCTCCATATGTCCATGTTCTCTATAAGTGTGGAACTTTATTCTATCGCTGCTGTAAGTTAGCTCGTAGCTGGTTACCCAGTTCAACGAAGATTGGCTGTCTCGTCCTTGCGTTGCAACCCTTGTTATTTTAACGTGTGGAGTAAGCAGCTCTATCTGGAGCCACTGGTTTTCATCACTTGTGTCAGCCACCCAAGCCCCTGCTTTGCCATGTGATTTTTTAAAGTGAAGTCTACCATTATGAGCAGCTTTATTGTGATCCCATTGAGAAGAGGCACTAATTTGATTGTCGGCGATGACCCTGCTCTCCATCCCTAGAGCTTCTGCACACCCTGAGTAGCATTAATGTTTTGCATTAAACACAAATATCATGTTTTTATTTCAATAGCTACTTCAAGTTAATCAAAGCTCTAATTTTTTCATTTGTCAAGTATTCTTACACTCCACAATTTTATTCCATGTCATTTTATCATACTGACATCATGCACACTAAGTTTTTACCAAATCAATCAAAAATAATGTGAAAAGCATTGAATACAGAAAGCTCTTTCCAGTTGGTGTGATTGTGCATTCGGTTTATATGAGAAAAATGAGTCATACAATTAATGAATAAAGTAGCGATGAACTTACCGAGAAGTCAGGAAAGTTTCTAAATTATTTGCAAGCAAAATCGAAAAATTTCCTCGACGACCTCAGTTATGAGTTCAATTTCCACTTCAAGAGCAACCCCACATCAAAAATCGTTTTAATTGAATTTGACTTTTTACCATCATCTCTCACTCGGTTTCTTCGGAAATAGCAACTGAGTTTTCAAAACACTTCTTGAAGCATTTATCAAAAAAAAGATATAAATCGTAGCCTTTTGACACAAACCCTAGTGGCACCACACGATATGAATTGTATCTGAATCGTTTACGTTTCAACTCTGGGTGTAAATGTAAGCTGCTTTAAAGTTTCCGTACATTCTACGTGTAATTAATTGTTACCGTGACTAGGCCGAAAAAAAGGTTCTATCATCCTCTTCGTTATTGTAAGCTCATTTATAAATAGCAAACTTACTAACGAATCCGTAAACCTCAACTCTGAGACAGATATGATCTTTCCAAGTAACTGGAAGAAAACGAATGTATCTTGCATAAACTGGAACTTCCAGTGGATGTTCATTGATTGTGTTGGATCCACCTTCCCTGCGAAATTTCTAACAAAATGAGAAAATTTGATGAAGTAACATACTTTGGAGATCCTTTATACTTCAAAAAAGATCTTGATGGCGACTAAAATTTCAGACAGTGACAGGGGACAACTATGGACCCACCTTTTTCCCATGTTGATGTCGAAATTGAGAAGCAGTACTTTGAGGAACGCACCTTTACTACCCACTGACAAACGATGAAAGTTTTCATTATGCTATGTTGGCAATACATAGTTTTCTAACTAGAAAAGGGACCGACATCTCACAAATTTCCCACTATCAGAATTCTACAGTGTGATAGTAAGCAACACACCAGACAGTTCATCAGAAGGAAACAAAAACCGTCTCACTCCAAGAAAAACTACAAAAACAACCTCCTTCGGCGAAACACCCCTCCCCTTATCTGCTTGTGTAACGACGAACGGTAAAGTAATTCCTATGACAATAAAGTAGGTCTGCAACGCTCGTGAATCCTATAACGAAACAATATCCGTCACCTACAGACCGATGATAGAAGACGTAATTTACTGTCTAAATTGAAGACAAAGACGAACTTAAACGTGGACAAGGAGCAGGTTGAAAGATCAAATGCTCTGTTTGTGGAGCCATCTAGATCACAGAGACGTAACAACCTTAACACAAGACGGTATGACAACAAGCCGGTAGCGCACTGCATCGGTATCGCAGAGGTCATCCCGTACAGTTATTTTTTCGGGCCTTATTTTGACAACTGCTAAGAAAGCATTCATTACTGCTAAGATCGCTTTCACATTTCACAACATTTTGGCGCAAATCGTACCACTTCTGAGTCGTTAGCATCCTTATAAGTTGGCCATACTTTCTCATAGGATTTAGAGTACGCTAGTTTAAAGTCTATCACCCATTCATTGCCATTGATGTCTCCTTGGGTTGCAACAGCGCACACTTCAATAATTTTCCCGAGATCGACTTGAAGCCACTGATCTTTGTCATTTATTTCGGCGCACCATCCATCGCCTCTGGTACCGTTCAGACGTCCATGTGATGGTGGGGTATTGTAACCGTGGCTTTGGTAATGACTTGATGCCCTCAGGGCGCTGTCAAGGATGATACTTGAATTGGAAACTCCAACAGCATTACTGAGGCAGGTATCAAAGGCCTCTGCATTTCAAAAATTTGCATATTTCAGTAAATATTTGCCTTCCTTATCACTGTTTATTCTTAACATAATATGCACGACATGTCTAAGCACAGAATTCACTAGCTTATAAAAATTAAGAAATTACAATACAAAACTGTGAGAAATCTATTTTAGAACCATTAATTCATTTCTCGTTTGAAGACGTTATTTTTATGCTTGCCAGTGGGTTAATAGGGTGCGGAATAATTAAGAGGCCAGGTGGGCAGCTATCTCTATTCCCCATTTCACATCTTGATGTTTTCTCGGAAAAATAACCTATTTTGGCGCTCATGTTTTCTTTGCAATTGATCCGCTTAAACCTATTGGGAAAAAAATCGCGACAAAAACAAAAACAACTTTATGTTGTTAACACCAATTTAGGCTCAGGCTGAACATCTTAAAAAGAATTCTTCGGCCGAAGGATATTCTGTTTTGTCGAGAATTTCTAATGATACCCTCAACCGCTCGATAGGGTGGAAAAGAGAAGAAATGGCTGAATAAGAGAAAAACAGCAGTAAGGGATAGAGAAATTAAATTTGTTTGTTTGAAAAATATTCGATATTGCTTCGCGCTCACATTGGTCGATAAACATGCCTATACCGTCATACGTTCTGTGTTTCTCGGCAAAAATCATAACCATTTCAAAGTTATTGCAAGATTCATAATGTGAATTTAGAACCATTTTAAAGTTATTACAAGATTCATAATGTGAATTTAGAATCATTTTAAAGTTATTGCAAGATTCATAATGTGATTTCTAGAAAAATTTAAAGGAAAAGGGAAAGATTTCGAGTCTAACGCTCTAGTCATTTCTAACTCCAGTGCCTGAGACTCGACGATATATGGATTAATTGGCAGACAAAATACTTGCGTTTAAGTAAAAAAGAGTGGCACGGCTAAATAAAATTATATTTGTTGTTCGTTATCAAGATGAAACGGCAAACGCTTACGATTCTACAGTTTCACTATATAAAATATCTCCTGAAAAGCTGTTTGATACCAGACAAGTTATGGCCTTATGAGCTTGCGTTACAAGCTCTGCGCGAGATTTATACATATTTTAGCCAGGTATCTTAACCTCGATAACACCCTGTAAACTTCTTTCTTCATTGAGACATCAAAGGTTCCTTGGGCACAAAATCCCACGAGAAAAACATACCTCCACTCGCTGAGCCTCTACTAATAACCATGATCAAGACTTGAACCTACATGGCGGAAGGATAGATATTTTTTAAAGGTTAAAAAATAGTTTTATCTCTCAGTATAGCAGAAGTACAAAGAAGACATATGTAAAGGCCGGCAGGCTCACCTGTAGCAAAATTAAAGGCCTTTGAAAGTTCATTTTGTCGCTATTTCATCCGAACCGAGCAAAGGTATTTTTGTTATGTTGATGTTGTTTATATGATGATTATGATGTTATTGTTTTCATAACTATCCTAATCTTAATTTTTTATCGACATGTTTCGTTCCCCGCTGAGGTTGCATTTTAGAAAAAAATCAATTAACCAGTGTTAAAATCAATTTCGCAATGACCACGAAAAAGCATGTTCTAGAAATATTAATAACGTAATTGAAGTTAGGAAACTGCGTAAATTTTATATCACGCCTAAGTTCGAATAATGAATCATTCCTGAAGAATAAAAAGAGTATTAGGTATTTTTCGGGAAAATTAGAGAAATGTGTGTTAAGATTGCGAAATTTTAGCTGTAAACAGGAGCTTCTCGGCTAAACAATTGCTGTTGCTGCTAAGCTCAAGCACTATAAATATATACTCCTTCTTAGATACGCAGTTAATTTGGATCTACCGACAATAGCGATAACAGGGGTTCAATAGCAGCTTGTATTGGTAGTTTTCAATTAACACAGTCTCCCGAAAACAGTTATTTTCTTAAAGGAATTATTTAAATATAGCTTTTAATTCTTGAAATAAAATGCTGTCTTGGTGTGTTCTTGCTTATGTTCTTTTATTTTTAACCTTTTTTTTCCTCGTACATGGTTATTATAGTTTTCGCCATTACACATCTTCACATTTCCATTGTTGTGCACAAATGAATATTTTGGCGGACCTCTGCCTCAATAACCTCTAAAGAAGGGACTATGTCACACTGTGTTTTTGTGCACTGTGGCTCCAGTTTGACTGTTGCTCTCCAAAGTAAATTTACGGGAAGCAGAGTACGAATCGGCAAAGGTCGACGGACGCAGAGTGTGATACAAGAGTGAGGAAGCGGGGACACGAGACCAATCAAAAGACTTTGTTTATTTGATGACCGAGTCTCACCCTTACTTTCTTTGCAATTTAACACACAGAAACGTTGATAATTTCTGTTTATTTTTTATGGATGTTGTGAAATGTTTCCATGCAAACATTTAGTTCCTGGATTTATGATGAATTTTATTGTGTGAGTTGTAATTTCGTTACCGTTAAAGCAAAGAGTCAACGTTACAATTAGAAGTAACATGTAATTGGGAGCGGCATAGGAAAATCAAATTACTTCAGCCAGCAGTGATGTATGAAATTAGGTATTTGCAGGGCGTTTAAACGCGTAGGAACTTAGCAGCATGATTTTCAAGTAAAGCCATGTTTAATAGGAAATTAGTGCTTACGGATCGTTGTAGAACGTGAGTGAATCTTGAATCCCACACGGAACTACGCATCTGGGTGTAGATTTCCTCAGCTATTAAAAGTAACATTTTTGTAACCCTAAGATTAGATTTTAATAGAGTAGATAGATCGCAGAACGGAACGTGTAATGTTGAATTGTCGCCAATAAAGCCTGAATCAAGAGAAAGTATACAGTCCAAGATTACCGAACCAGCGTGTGCGCAATTCTCAGCAACGCAAGTGGGAAATTCTGCGAAAATGGAGAGCACTTATCGAAAAACTCCACTATTAATATGAAATAAGTTAGGTATTCCATCAAGCCGATTTAAAGTCATCATAACTACTTGTTCGTAAAAACCTTGCTCTTGAAGTGCAGCACGGTGACTATATTAGTATTGCATCATCTCAGTGTACAAATCATCCCTTTAAAAGTGAAGAAATTTTAAAAAAATTCATCGGAGGGAAATAAAGATAAAGCTAAAGACGTTTACTAAGCTTGATTACTCGAGGAACGTTTTGAGCTGATCTTATTAAGAATCGCGCGATTTTTCAAAAAAAATTACAATTCAAATTGTTCAATTTAGAGAGAATTTAAGAAAAGTTTTTAAAAAAGTTTGATAATTTTTCTGTCAAGAAATCACCTTAAAATACGGCGAATGTTTGAATTTGTTTGGTGGTGGGATATGTTTGACATTGGTTCCTGTATAGTTTTGAGTTAAGCCCCGATAAACGCTCATGATTGTTGATGATAGTCGACCATTGTTTAAAGTTTCATCATAGATTATCACGTTTTCGTTCGAACGGTGTATGATAATTGACGATAATGTAGAAATCACGATATAAGATTGAGTAACTGTTAACAAATATGGCGCGCGCTGAGGTCAGCAATTTCGACGGCATTTGAAATTTTAATAAAAAAATTTAGATCAGAAGATAACTAAGCCTTCCAGGAGATAACGAGAATGAACCATGAGACATTCTGTGAAATTTTAACGGCTAGTTAAGTCATTTTACACTTTTCCATTTCAGTTTGAGCCCATTTTTGGCAAAACTGCTGACCGAAAAACTATCATTGAATATCATCCGCTCGATCAAACAGCAAAAAGCTATCATCAACTATCATGTCAAATTGGAACATGTCCGAACTACATGGCGTTTGAAGATAGACTATGACAGCCGACGACACTGCATGATATTTCATGATAAAACGCGCAGGATAGTTGAAACTATCATCGACTATAATAACCATTTGAGCGGGGCTTTAACAGCCACGAGTCTGTCATTTTGCAAGGTTTAAGGTAATGCCTCGCAAAATGCCTTTGAAAACAAAAAAGTCTCACAACTATGACAAAGCAGACAGGACAATCTTATCAGATTAAACTTAGTAAATCTATTTCTTATCTCATTCGTCATCAAAAAACGATTGTCATTCTTATTTCCTTATGATACAATAACCAGAAGCAACAAATATTAAATGAAGATTATTATCTCTCGTCGTGTTTGTTAACTTAGCTTCTCTTTTGGATCTCTCCCTCATCTTTTCTAGCTGATATCGCTTAAAGTGCTATTTGGGATCATCACCCAAAGTATCTATTTCGATTGCGCCCAGATTGATAGAAAATTCTTCCTCTTTTTCTTCTTCTTTTTCACATGTGCCTTTATTCTTTCGGGTCAGGAGAAAGGAAATTACGATAACTGCTATCATAACCTTCGTAGGCTGTACAAGGAAAATATCTTGTCCGCCGGAAATTATGAAGGAAGCAAGTCATTGCCCATTAAACCATTGAACAACGTAAAGTTATTCATCGCCCAGAATGCTATTGTCTTTCGCGACATGTACTTGCAGTGCCCATTTAATCAGCGGGCAGCATAATAATTTGCATATCCTGAACTAGTCGGTTGTGATTGGTCAGCAGGTAAAGCTTTGGGAATACATGGGTCTCTTTGCAGATTTCAGCTGCTGTCAATCAAACGGTTGGATGCGTAAAGTAAATCCCAAGTTGCCAACAGTTACGCATCTGAATTCATAACATTTGTCTGTAAATAACACTTTTCTTTAATAAACGGTTATACTGAATTTTGCAAACATTGCTAGACGTATTTAAGTAAGTAAGTAACTTAATTTCTGAGTCAAACATAAAGACCAGCCAAAAGAAAAATCCTAATAGGGGACATGTAAGAGAATATTGGTATCTTTAAAGTTCGATTAGTTCAACAATCGAACTCGCAAAAAAGTAGGTTCCATGAACCTCCAACCAAGGATTGAGGTCGGTAGCCGGATATTCTGTTTTATGTTATTGCCTATTTTCTATTTCGTTAAAATCGCTTCAATCGGTAGAGAAAAATATGAGCGATGCTTCCGACAACCGGCTTGTGATTG